CCCTCCTCCCCTCCCTCCCCCCCCTCCCCCCCTCCCCCCCCTCCCCCCAGGATCTAGGAAACACGCGCAAGACAGAGCACGCGATGATGATGAATTAGATAATTAATATTGTACAAGAGAGGGTAGTCGCGCGTTTTCATCAAGAAACAAATCGGAAAGATGTTCCTGGAAATCAGCTCCACCGATTAATTGTTGTCGTCGTATCCCGCCGCAGCCAGGGGTCTCGGCAGAGCTCCCGCCTGTAACAGCCGCGAAAGAACGTTTTAATTACTTAATTGTTCATGAAAATTCAGTTAATTGCGCGCAGTTAATTCGTTCGTGTGCGTTCGTGTCGGAGTGTCTGAGCCGGACGTCGAAAGAAAATCGAAGCCGGGAGGGAATGTTCGAGCTGTGCGAAACGATACTTATACTCTAAGCCAATGTTTCACTAGTCCAAACTAAAATTTTAAACAAATGTTACAATTAAACTCTAAACCTGTACTGCTATTTTTTTTTATATCCGCTAAAAAAATTATCTGTTTTACGTAGAATTTATTTAGTAGTCTAACGTCTAACGTAACGCGCAAAAATCGCATTTAAATCTCACATAACATAAAGTCACCTTTTATAAGAGATATGAATGACTATTATCTAATTGAGTGCTGTAGAAAGATTTTTTTTGCTAAAAACAAATTGTTCAGATATAAATTCTGTCTCTGTCATCTATATTGATTGGATACAAAACATGCGCGCATGTATTACAGCGCTTGCTAATCATTTATCCACTTTAATTAATTTTTCATATCTAAATAATTTTCGATATGATTTTCAAGATTATTTTTTTTTCATGTATCCGATCAAGCACGAATCGCAACTTTCACGCCGCGACTTAGAGCTATAAAAGCAAATCATGAAAATAAATTGCAAAGAATATTATATTGAAAATATAATATTATTCTCAAATTTGAGACATGAAAAGAGATACATATTATATAATTTATTATATTTTTTTTAATTTTTCTTATATATCCAAAATAGGTTAATAGCTTATATTATATGAAATAAATTGTGTAAGTAAAATGACATATACATAGGATATATATCATAAATAAACTTTTTGTTGGTTAAAGAATTTTTTTAATTACAATATATATGGGATGTTCCTGGAATTCTGGGAAAAACAGAAAAAACAAATATTATTTCTATGATCTAGGTCCATTTTTTTCTTGATTATCATATTATTGTATGAACATTATATGATAATGTTAATATTGATTTAATGACATAAAACAAAGCAATGATAAATTATGACAACAAATTATTGACGACAAAAGAACGATAAATTATGTCGATATGCGTGCTTAATTAGGAACAGATCGATACACGAAATAATTAGATGCAATTTGGGGGGGAAACTTAACAGTTAGAGCAAAGAAGAGCTTCTTGATATAAATGACACTTAATGTCATCTCATCAAGAAAAAAATTGCGCAGCTGAATTGAATAGAAAAATGAAGTCCAATTCTTGTTAGGAAAAATATATCCCTTCGTTATTTACGTAGCATACATTCCGAAGTATGCAAATTATATTATCAATGTAAATCTGCTATTCACTTTGGGCACTCTGTGTCGTATGTTATTGCCAAAATTATTGCTAACTACGTTATTGACCACTTCAAGTTACGTGCACGATGTAAATAAGGTAAATATCCCAGTAAAAAATGGCCAGACATTTAATTAAAAATATGATTCTTTTATGAAAATGATATTTTTTTTTGCTTTTACGCATAATTAAGGTCAACTTTTAATTAATCAAAGTATATAAAAAAAGGAATTTCGACTATCAATTACTAATTTATTAAATGTAAGTATATTAAATACTTTTTGTAGAAATGTTCACGTATGTATATGTACCAATGTTCGAACAACTACAATTATACTATTAGAAATTTTTTTATTTAAAAAATCTATATATATATATATATATCTTCATATATGTGTATATATGTGTATATATGTATATAGATTAAGATATAAATATTCCTTCAAATTATATTATCAATGTAAACATACATTCGGGCAATCTGTGTCGTGTGTTATCACCAAAATCATTACTGACCACGTCGTTTTGTGCGCGTATGACGTAAGTACGTCCGATATTATTAGGAAAGAAAAGTGTCTTTCATCAGTTGCGCCCACGTGTCGTGTTTGAATCGCTGACAAATCGATATCATCGTCGGCGGTTTTGCTAATACAGATAAGAATTTTAGTAATGCGTCACGTTATTCTCGAAAATTCGCACATCCGCCGTCGTGATTGCGAAGGCACATATTACAAGTTTGCGGTATATCACGCTCTCGTACTTTGACGGGAGACTTTTTACAGAAGGGGAGGAAGGAATGGAGTAATTGTCAAACGCGGTGGAACGAAAAGTTTCTCCCCTCGTAACATTCAAGCGCGTAAATTCCGGTCGAGAACCAAGTCTAGTCGCTCATCTCTTCACGTCGTTGGGGGATAAGTTAGTTTTATTGAATTATTACGGTCATTTGTAATTTGCCACCGGGATATCTATTTGCCTCCTATTTTCTTCGTCTCCTCTGTTGTAACTTTTAGCCACGTGTCCCGCAAACTGGGGATGAAGGATTGCCTTATTATATACAGAATAAATAACCGAGAATCTTACTAAAGAAAAAGATTTCGATAAGATTACTCATATTTTATCTTCAGGACATATCTTCGGGATTACACCTACGTTTATTTATAATGAAAAAAATTATAGATTCTTCTAGATCGTATTTAAAAAAATATAAAAAATTTTGCAGTAGGAGTTAGAATCTGGATAAAAATTATTTAAATAAATTATTTAAAGTAGAAATATACTTTGATAGACATCTAATTAAGAAATAATGATAAAAATCTCAATTTTTTTTTATAATATATAAGTACTTAAAATATTTAAAATAATTTATGTAAAGCAATTGCAATGTAGAGATTAATTGTTTCGTAAATAAGAATTAAATTTTTATTAAAAGTGCAAACAAAACGAATGATACAAATAAAATTAAATTTTTATTTACACAACAAAATTAATCTCTGTACACAATGAAACTTCATATAAATAATTTTTAATACTTCAAATACTTATGTGTATAATATAAAAAAAATTGCGATTTTTGTTATTATTTCTTAATTATTAATTTCCATTAGAACAAATTTCTACTTATTTATTTAAATAACTTAATTCCAATTCTAAGCTTCCAATCGCTAAACTCTTTTGTATTATTATTTTTAAATGCGACTTAAAATAACCTGTTTGTTTTTCATAATTTTTTTCATTATAAATATAAAAATAAGTGTAGTACTGCTTAAAGTTAAGTCGCAATTATTATCATCATTTCCTCTCTGTAACATAAATAAAATGTTAAATGTCAGATAAAAAAGTTAAATATCAGATTGACATTAATTTCTCAATAGTTTCTTCGAATGCGAAAAGATAACTGATTAATTTCTTTATGATTCCCTTGCAACATGGAATGCTTTCCTTGGCATATTAGTCGCTGAGGAAAAATATTTCTCGCCATACAGACGTGACAATATGCTTGTTAAAAAGATCGCATGCTTCGTCGAGCTTCGTCGAGCACAAGGTATCGTAATAAGCATTGTTTCGCCGAGCTTTTGAAGATGAAAATATGCGTATATTTC